GCTCTGCCATTAGAAGGGCTGTGATAAATCCCCTTCCCATGCTTCCACAAAGAACTCCAGACTAAAGAAGTTCTTCTGCATTAACTGAGTATATGTTGGACACAAGCCTGGGGAGTTTATGAAGCATTTCCAAGGTTCTTGGTAGCTCTGAGGCCTCTGGCAGTCCTACGGCATCCAGACCAAATTAACATGTTAGCAAGTATCTTAGGCCACACTTACTTCGGTATAACTACGTCACTGAGATGTGAAAAATCCACACCCCTGAGTGACATAGTTCTACCGCCCCTAATCCCCCCATGCAGACAGCACTAGGTCAGTGGGAGAGGCTCTCCCGCTGACATAGCTACTGCCTCTCATGGATGTGGAGTAATTAAGCTAATGGGAGAGCTCCTTCTTGTTGGCTTAGAGCATCTTCATCAAAGTGCTACAGCTGCGCCCGATGTGGCATTTGTAGTATAGATATAGACCTGCCCTTAGTTGTAAGTTCTGCCACTCCTTTGAGGATGGCAGGTCATAAAGTTGCTTTAGTATTAGAAAAGAGGCAAAGCCCTCATCAGTGACTAATTGGGAAATCCATACAATGCCCTTGCTCAGCTAGTTCTTCCACATTAGAGGTTTGTTCCCAGTTGGCAAATTTGTGACCCAATAGGTGTTTTGCATGATGGTGTGGATGAAAGTGGTATCACTTTAACTAGGATAGCCCAGACCTTTTGCACTGCCACCACTGTAGGCACCTTATTTCTCTACATTGGACAACAAGAGGAACTGAGGAGAACCCCCGGGGAATTGGATGCATTAGTGCATGTTCAGTTTCCACCCACGTTGACATAAGAGTGTTACCATGCTTGGACCAGTTTGACATCTGTAACATGATAAAAACATAATAGGTATTTTGTAGGTCTGAGAACCCAACTCCCACCCTACCTTGTTATAGCAGTTACAGTTTTTGAAATTATACCTGTGGGCATTGAGCAGGATCCCACAGGAAGGCTCTGCTAATGCTATTAAATTTTCTAAAATAAGATGGATGGATATATACAGGTAGGCCACTTAGCATATAGAGGAACCTAGGCAGAATATTCATTTTTATTGTGTTAACCCTTCCACACAGGCTCAGGGAGAGAGGATGTTACCTATTTGTATCACTAACTAGTTGAGAAAGTACCGGATGTATGGATCAACTTTTAATTAAGAAGAATAATGGCACAAATTTATCTTCAGTCCTAAATATTTCTTTTAAAAAAAAACCTGATGTACCATATCTACTTGAGATTCACCAGTCAAGTTTTGTGTAGATAGACAAGGTTTTGTAGCAAATTCTCTGCTAAACCTGTGAACTAGTGCTGGTCCGAAAACAGAATTTCTATTCCAGGCAAATTTTTGACATTTGGAAATTTTCTTTTGTTCCAAATCAAAATTTCTCTAAATTCCAAAATATCTTGATTCAGAAACATTGTAATGTTTTGACCTTATTTGAAAGAAATTTGTGTTTCAATAAGGTTGAAACATTATAATATATGTAAATAAACAGGCCTGATCTCTCACCCTAGCCCAAGGTTTTCTTATGCGGATAAGGGTAGATTTGCTCTGGTATATTGAGTGGGTATGGGAAACATCAACCATCAGTTTTATATCACATGATCTCCCAGGCAACCAGAGGTTCCCGCTGCTCCAGTGCATTGATTTCAGCTCTGTCACAGAGACTTGTATGGCCAAGTATACTGTTCACCTAGGAAATGGTTAAGGGGACTTTCCATTCTGCAGCAGGGTGAGCCCTTAATTGTACCCAGGGCAGGTCACTTTGGCAAGAGCAGTTCTAAAACAACAGATGCTTCTGCTCTTGGAGGAAGCATTCTTCCCTGCAGACCTAGCCCAATTTCTTTTTGTGGTATGAGCACTCAAAGAATCTGATGTGATTTCACAGATCTACACTCCATGCACCAGCTGTGCTGCCTCACACCTCTTGAGAGAGGACCAGAAAGAGCAAAAACATGGCTGGACTTCAGTTCCAGAGGGAAAGACAGCCCTGTGTCTCACTCTCACTGCATCCCTACAATATCCCTTCCTTTCCTGGCCCTACTTGACAGAACTACTCCCATTCCCTTTGAAATGTCTTTCCCACAGTGATGGATCTGAGACTTAAATAATGGGGCCTATTGCCAGACTGCAAGCCATCCAGAGAGCAGCGAAAGGCTGATCTCTAGTTCATGCCACCATGTGGAGTAGGCCTAATTACTGACTATACTAGACTTTCAGAGTCACATTTGTAGTACCTACTTACACCCACAATGACTGTACTTGTGTGCACGTGCTCAGACATTTGGGCACCCAAAACCAGAGCATGTCAGTGGGCAGTTGGGCATGAATTACCCAGTTTGTGCAAGTACAAATGCAGGCTTTTGCATGCATGGATACATTTATTATCATGGGTATATATTTAAAGGCAAAGTTGAAAAGTTTGGTTATCAAGGTTGAACACAAGGCATGTGCCAGAATTTAAATTCAGGTCCATCTTTACTCAATGGACAAGATTCTCATTATGAAAAACATTGCTCCCTAGCCAGTAATTATTACAGTACTCCCAATTTCGATTACTATGGCCATTAATTGTACACATTTCTTTACAATCCGCATGACTAAGGGTTTACGATGATCATCAGTTTGGATCATGAAGAAATCTTCCCTTCCCATGGAACAATAGTAACACTGCACAATAAGGTGCAAAGTGGGGTTATTTATAAAGCACCTAGCATAGACTTTATCTTTGACAGGGGTGAAAGTAGATAGTCTATCGATTTTTTCCTGATATGGCAGTTCTATATTCCCATCCCATAAAGGGCCAACCTACCTATTAGTTCAGCACACGTGAAATATGACCACTGCCTGTCACCAATATTGTCTCATTATATCGTTGTACTCCCCCATCTGTCTGCATCCATCGGTTGAATCTTGTCTTATACTTAGAGTGTACGCTCTTGGGGCAGGGAGCTTTTGCTCTGTGTCTGTACAGCACTTAATACAGTGAGGTCGTAGTCAGTGACAAGGGCTCCCAAGTGCTATGGCAATACAGATAATAAATGAAATTCATTAGGTTAAACTTATTTCCACAAATTGAAAACTAAGCATTTAGTTTATTAAAGAAACTTTACTAACTGTTTTTCAATTTAACTTAATACTTTTGAAATATAAGTACAAAATACAATGAAACATACTTTGCTAACTTCTACAAAAGAGTCTAAACAATGCACTTACATCATTTACATGATTCACTTTCACAATAAAATAGGAGAGCTTAGATCAATATTTACAATATTGAGAGAGGACTCGGTTTACAGCCATCTGACTCTGGTGCTGCCCTTTGTTGTGACTGGCTCATTTGGAATAACATCTAACTCCCGGATCCTGATGTTGGACCTGCCTGGGCAGATTTTTGTGCCTGGTGCAGATCCCCACTGAAGTCAATGGGACGCTGCGTGAATGCAAGGGCCCACCCATGTGGATCCAGTTGCAGGAACAGGGCCTAAGAAATCAAAAGTGCAGCACGCATTTGCTTTTTCCATCTTTAAGCTGCCATTATAGCACATGAAATATTAAATGAATCCTCTAACTTAGAACTCTTCTTTCCAACCTTATACACGTCATCAAAAAGGGGTTTGTTATGATTTATGTATAAAGGTCAGATTCCACCCTCAACTGTGTGTTCATTGAAGTCAGTGGGAGAAGAATGCACATCCAAAGGCACAATTTGACCCAGCATTTGGGGTTTGTCTTCAGCAAAAGATTAGGTCAACTCATGGTACAGTAGTTAGTAAGAGCCCTCAAAGATAGGAGTCATGGACAGCAAGAACATTACCATGACCTAATCTTCTAGTGAAGACAAGCAGTTGGTGAACATTAAGGCTTATATCTATACTCCCATCCCAAATTACTGACATTTGGTATTTGCTCATGTATAATAACTTAACTACTTGGATCCACACTATTTCCATATGTCATGTGGTGACATGTCCTATGTATGATTGTCTTAAGGTACACAGCATATTGACGGATTATATACACATCTTAAAATGTACAAAACAAAGTCACATCCTAACAAATAATAAATATTGATCAGAGTACAATATTGAACTAAAATAAATTAGAAAGAACCGTTAGGTATTGACTTTCTTCTCTCATTTAGGGCCTGGGCCATAGACCATTAATGTCAATGGAAGTCTTTCCATTGGTTTCCAAGGACTTTGGATGGCGCCCTCCATTAGATGATAGCTGTTTGAAAGGCAGGAGTTTAGTTAGCCTGAAAGTTGCTCATTGGCTATATGATCAAACAATGAAACTCACCTTAAAAAGTTCTTGCTGATTGTCTTCATCATTTAATTCATATAATAAGCATATAACTGTGCATAAAAAACTGTCAACTACCAGAATATCACATTCTCACGATAAATAAACATTAGTGCACACAGTTCTCCAAATTTCACTCATTAGCTAAATTTGTGTAGATTTGAGAATGATTCAAACTGTGCACTTAATAAAACTTCTCTCACAACTACAGCTAAGCAAAATGTTAACTGGCAATTGACAGGAAGTAGCTTATTAAAAAAAAAAATAAAAAAAAACTGACAAAACTGTCAAGATGGGCATGAAACAAAACCCCAGATCCAGATAGTCCCAGAACATTGAGAAGTGTGGAATATGGGTCAAATTTTGGTGTTTCAGGCTCATCTCTGCCAAATTGAAAAGGATTAAAAATATTTATTTTAAAAAGGAAGAGCAGTGGATCTGCTATACTAGAATTGCACTCGTAAGGTCTATATGCTGCTAATGATACACTGTTATACTGTAAGAAGTATAATTCAATTACTTTACACAAAAGCAGTGCAGTCTTTTTGTTTGTAATTTTCTTCATGTCTCTTTTCCCCCTCCTCAAGACTTCATTGTGGATTCAGTATTAAGAGTAACTAAATAGCTAGAAAGTCTTTATCTTAAAGAAAGGGCTTGGTTTACATGGAAGGTGGTGTGACAGGTGTCCATGTGGATGCCAGCCTATTATGTGCAGAGGTATCATACTGACTGTCAGAAATGTCTGTTGGTGTGCCAGCGTCATACAGCAGAGATCCCGAGGAGGAGGCAGTGACAGAGTGAGGAAGGGGTGGGTAGTGTGCTGGAGAGCCTCGCAAAAACTGGGAGCTCAGTCCATTGGACATCCCACCTGACTGAGACACGGGTGTGATGGTGCTGTTATTCACAGACCACAAGTTGGGATACTGACTGTAAGAGAGAAGAAGGGTAGATAATATGGATTATTAATTAACCCAGTTTTCCCTGTCAGCTATGCAGTTTTACACCTCACAAAGCACATTCCAGAGGTGTTTTTACTCAGCTACTTTATGCATAGTGAAGAACTTTGGGAAGGTTCTTGCTACTTCAGTACACTAGAGAAGTCTCAGGCACTTAAAGTGCGGATCACACTGATTTGCTGCTGCCAGCATGCAGTGAGGATAAGAATCTACCCAAATCTTCCCAGCTCCCACCTCATCCCTCTGCTTCCCCCACCCACACACCTATAAAAAAGGTTCTTTACTGGGGGCCAGAAATAAAAAAGTTGATCTGTGAGAAAAATTTAAAGAGGATAAATTTAGCTTTTCCATTTATTATTTAGCTCTTACACAGCACTTTTCACCCATAGATCCCAAAGCACTTTACATTATCCCCTTTATCCCCATTTTACAGATAGGGCATCAGGGCCCAGAGGGTGAAGTGACTTGCCCAAGGTCACACAGCAATTCAATGGCAGAACCAAGAAGACAACCCAGTCTCTTGACTCTCAATCCAGTACCCTGGACTTTGTTGCCTTCCAAATGTAAAGACATTTTTGGGAGGGAGAAGAAGTGCTTGGGAGTACTTGTTATTTCAATAAATTTATGTTTAGTAAAAAAAGTATCTAGTACTTTGTATTAGTAATATATATATGGTATATTTTAATAGATAAATGCTAACTTGTATATTTCATAAATAAGTGTGCCTTTTCTACGATTCATGTATATTAGCAGAATATTTAGACTACAGATTTGAACTGCAAGTTGTTTAAAAAAAAAAAAAAAAATAGAGGGCCAACCCCTGATCCTATTAAAGTCAACAGCAAAATCCCATCTGACTCCCCAATAACTTCTAGTTTGGGTTCCTAGGAATTGGGTACAAATCCAACATCATAACTTCTTTCAACAGGTGAGCCAATATTTTATCAAGATAATCATAAGTCTAAAAAAAGAGACATGATATATGTTCATGACAGGAGGATGGTTTTCATTGAGTTCTCTTAAAAGCAATAAACAAGGGCTATTATTTAAAGGGATACTGTTTGCTTGATCTCTCACACTTGTCAAAGTGTTATTTTACTTACTGTTGTTACAAATAACACTTAAGATTCCTAGAACTGAAAGATGGGAGAAAATAATTGTTCCTTATTTCTCCAATAAGTTTGCACTGTGCATTTGTCAGCACTGTGTGTAAAGTCAGTTTCATCGTTTCTCCTGTATGGCCAGTATTTTCACATATTTATAGCGGCTTTTCATATATCAACAGGGAAGAGAAAAAAAGCATTAAAAAAAGGAAAATGCAACAATAAAGCCATAAATAGGCAGAGAGACTTAGACCTGGTCTACACCTAAAACTTACGTCAATTTAACTATGCTGCTCCAGATATAGTTAAGCAGACCAATGCTCCAATATAGACACCACTAGGTCAACAGAAGAATTCTTCTGTCAACCTAGCTACCACCTCTCAAGGGGATGGATTTACTATAGCAATGGAAAAACCCCTTCCATCGCTGTAGCGATAGACTACACTACAGCAGCATAGCTGCAGGACTGCAGATGTGCCACTATAGCCTTTGTAGTACAGACATACTCTGAGAGACAGGTGTACTACCTGAAACTACTTTTAACTCTTTACTTTAAAACTGACTAGATTTCAAGCTGACAATGAAGTGTTCACTCCTTTCTTCAATTTAAAAAACCCAACATACTCTAATTTCTGAAGATTTGGGGGGCTGCATTGCAAAGGGACTGAATCCTACCTGGAGCTGGTAGATGTGCCAGTGCTGTGACTCATGGGCAGCATACTAGTGTGTGTGGGAACTCCTAGACTGGACCAGTTGTCATGGGATTGGAGCATGGAAAGACAGGCCGAGGAATTATCAGCATAGGCTGCTGTGAAAAACAAGCAAGCACTTAACAAGCAGATTAGCAGTTAAAGTGAGGCACAATTCTCATTTTCAATGCAGAATATGGCTTTTTTATTACTGCTTTGCATATTATACACACACACACGTATCTACCAATTGTGTCAAACTATCAATTTTATTGGGACTGTCGAGTGGGTGATGTGCCAGTCTGCTATACGAGGTGCCCAAGTTCAGTTGCCAAAGCATATTTCACTTCCTACCTCCAGTAGTTCCTTATGCCAAAATGCTCAGCCTCTGATGAGGGGAGTGCATTATGTAGCGCTGTGGTAACTATGGGGCTAAATTAGCAATGGCCTCAATGCCATTCCACCCTCCACAGCCAGAGAAGGTTGCTGTGGCATATGAACATAAGGGGAGGAGAAAAATCCTTTATGGGGGATGGGGGAAGAAGCAGGGCACACAGAGAAGTTAATTATTCTCATGGAATTTTATTTGAATTTGCAAAACTTATGCAAAGATTCAAGATGCAACAAAAATCAACTACATGCAAATTTTCATTTTTAACACACTTTACAGAGTTACGTATTGTAAGAACAGTCAGGCTATGGGCTGTGTCTGGAACAATTTGATGGTGACTATGTCACCTAGCCTACATAATATTTTATAACATTTAAAATATTAAGCTGTTTTTTTAAAAACAAAACAAACAAACAAACAAACAAAAACCCCTTTCAGTAGCCTTTATTGGCCAGGAACGAAAAACCATAGCAAGTCCCGGATGGGCAGTTAGTTAAACATCCCCTCCTTTCTTCTCATGGAAGTGCAATTGGATAGACATATTGTCATTACGCACCCAATTCTGTCACCCTGACTTATTTTGAGGAGTACCTTACCACACATGTAGTCTTGTTGATTTCAAAAGGACTACACACTGATTAAGATGTTCCTCAATGTGAGTAATGGTGGCCGAACTAGGCCCTCAGTTATTTACTTAGGTTAATGCCACTTGACTCCACGACCATAACTAGAAGTCTATTCAATTCACTGCCATTTCTTTAAGATGGTTCTTCCTCAAATTCGTCAGATACATATATTCCATCTTCACTTAAACCAAGTCCCCAAACTTCTCCTCTTGCACTCCCCCTTACCAGTAATAAAATGTGTCCGCATCCTTTTGGGCTGGGAGCCGAGAAAGGGGTCCGGCAGCCAAGAACAGAGGCTGAGGGCGGGGCCGGAACGGGCTGGGTGGTGCTCCCTCCCCACCCCCTTGTGAGGGCTGGCCCAGACCCTGCCGTGCACCCTAAGGTGTTCCTTCGTGTCCCCTTAAGGGGGCACACCGCACAGTTTGGGGACCACTGACTTAACTGACAAATATTGCCAGAATAAACCAAGCTTTCCTAGGCTAAAAATCATTGAAGTATTCCTTCATTTCAAGATTCTTGTTCTACAGAAGGACACAGGGACAGTGTTAGCCAGGGCTGGCTCCAGGGTTTTGGCCGCCCCAAGCAGCCAAAAAAAAAAAAAAAAAGCCGTGATCGCAATTGCGATCGTGATCTGCGGCGGCAATTCGGCGGGAGGTCCTTTGCTCCCAGCAGGAGTGAGGGACTGTCCGCCGAATTGCCGCCGAATACCTGGACGTGCCGCCCCTCTCCGCAGCGGCCGCCCCAAGCACCTGCTTGCCAGGCTGGTGCCTGGAGCCGGCCCTGGTGTTAGCACAGAATTGTCTAATAACCTAACGTTAGATAGAGCATTACAAAATCTTACTTTTCCATTGTTAAGAGGCTAGAGAAACGTATTTACTTTTTGTTATTGCCTTTCAATCGTCACAAGCCCTCAGCACAAACTGAACTAGATACTGATCTCAGTTCCAATGACATTACTCCAGATTTACACTGATGTAATTTATTAAAATTTGGACCACTAGGTTAATTTCCCTCTTTAAATAGCCGCAGAATAATAAAAACTTACTTGGAGAGTTGTTTCTATGGGCATATGGATTGGGGTAAGGGGCAGAACGATGATTCCTCAGCGATGAGAATCTTTCACAGCTGTGAGCAGAGGACAGGGATAGAGGTGCTCCAAATTGAGCATGAGGATTGGAGGGGGGGCACAGACTCCCAGTTCCAGGAATAAGCCAGCCACCTACTATGAGAAAAAGAGGACATTTCGTAGCACTGATACATAATGCCACAGAGCAGGCTATGAATGTTATGAGCCTTTTTAACACTATTACTCTGAAGTTAAATATTAGAGCTGGTCAGAAATTTCCCAACACAATGTTTTTCCATCAGAAAATGCCAATTGTCAAAAGTGAAATGTGGATACATGTCGCCTCGCATAAAAATTCATTTTGAAAGAAAAATTGAGAAAAAGGGCAATTTTAATAAGGGCAAAAAACAGGTTCCCTCCCAGCACTATTGAATAACATTATTCAGGTTGGCTTCTCCCTGCCCATTACAATAGATGCCGTCTTTACCTGTGTTACTAATTACACCTTAGACTATTAAAACTGAAATATTTTTAAAACTTTGCATTTTTTATCTTGTGTGTACGTTTTGCATATCATTCACTTTGGATGGTGAAACCACACTGGTTAATTTAATCTTTTGTTTATAGCATCTCTTTTTGGTTCTCCTCCATTAGCACAACATTGCTGTGCTTGAGGTTTCCAATACTGATGTGGGATGATGTTCAAATGCAAAAGAAAATGTTTTCATAGAATTTTTTTAAAATTCTATTCCCATTATAATTTGTAAATGCCCTTTTATTCAAGTTGTGGACCTAATTTTTTTGACAATGTCCCTTTAAAACAAAATTCAATTTAAAATTCTAAAACAGTGACATTTTAGCCATCTGAAAACAAAAGAATTTTAAAACTGGTGCCCCCAATTTCCTTAGTGTACTTTAAAAATAAATTAAATAAACTGGTGAGTTTATTCTCACTAATTTTTGTTACCTTTTGAAATAAAACACTCCTTCCATTAATCTCCCCACAGATATTGCATTATTTATATCCAAGACCCATTGTCTTGTAGAAAACTAATGATTATAACATTTCACTACAGAATTTTTGAAGGCAGTATTAATGTTTAATAAAATACATTGTACACAATAAGAAACATGAAAAACTACAAAACAATAATCATAAGAATCAAACACCAATCATAGAACTAAAAAGGACCTTGAGAGGTCTTTTAGTCCAGTCCTCTGCACTCAAGGCAGGACTAAGTATTATCTAGAATGTCATACTTAATCTATAGTGAGAGTTAACATATGCCTGCAAACAAACACTGGTGTCTGAATTTTACTCAGCTACAACATACTACTTAATTGTAATAGAAAGGAAGTACAAAAGAAGCTGAGATGAAAGATAAGGTATTTCTTAAAGTTATATACTTAATAGAGTGAAATTAAACATACACTGTGAATACCCAGACTGTTGATTGTCTCCAACTTCATCCATCATATCTTTGTGATCACTTCTGTCAAAGAAGCCACATTTCATTAGTCAAAGAAAATGATTTGAAAGAAATGTGTTTTCACAAATATGTAATTTTTCTGCAAACTTTGTAACTGGGTTTAGTCAAGAATTCTCACCTTTCTTTTGCATCAAGGAAAGCCTTTGCAAATGGATTGTATTTAATTTTTAAAGCTGTGATCTAAAAACAAGAACAAAAATCTTATTTTGCAAGTGTTACTACTCATTATCATACAGTATTTAGGACCTGATCCTGCTTCTCTAAAGTTAGTGGGATTTTACCATTGATTTCAGGGGCAGTAGGATTAAGGCCATAGTATGGATTTATGTAAAGTAACTAAACAGCACCCAAAACATCTCAAATGTTAACAGTAGACTTGAAATTATTCTCGTTACAAAATTTAAAGACATCCACTGTCACTGCCTGACTAAGTTACCTGGTTTTATTATCCTATTAAGGAAACACATATGAAAGGGGATACACTAATGACAGTTATAAAGAGTTTTGGGTTTCTGGGTAGACCAGAATGAACAACAACAAATCTCAACTAGGATAATAAGCTTAGTAACTTACAGTTTAATTGAAGTTTAAAGTGCCCATTTTATTTGAAAACAAGAGTCAGTTTTGAAAATGCCATTTCCAATTAGTTCCTGTATTATTTCATTATACTTTAAAATAGTGAGTTTATTCTTACTGATTTTCTAACATTAGTAGTTAGCTTTGATGAATTCCAAAGAATCTTTATAATTCTACTTTTAACAAATAAAAAGTTACAATATATAGGAAACAGGGAATTAGTGTTACTAATTGGGCTTTATTATTACTTATTTATTGGGCTTTATTATTTAATTTCAAACAAACTCACTTTATATACAATTTTAAATGAAACAGAGAATTGAAAAAAATGTTACATGACAAATATTTTGCTCCAGTATCTTTCACTTTGCTAATTCAGAGGATAGAAGTGCATGTAGGTTTCTTTCCCGTTTTGTGCATACCTCCTCATTCTGATAAGCTGTCACAGCTATAAACTGGGTCTCTGGGAAGGAATGGCTGGTTATCATACGCTGAGGGCCACCAACTCTCACTATATGAATCCTAGGTTCATACTTGTGCAAGGAGTTCAACATGATCTGTAAATATATAATAGCACACATAAGCATTGTCACAGTGGGATGCAAATTTCTACAGTTACAGAGCACTTTGATTTTAAAAAGCTAACGCTGGATATTTCTTGATGGGGGCAGGTCCCAAAAGTCAACAGACACTAGTAAATTCTAAAAGTGAAGCCTGACAAAAGAAGATAAACGTCAGGCAACTAAATTATCTGCCTAAATATTATCCGCCATTATATTTGGCAGGGCAGCCTACTGATAGATATGCACACTTTGGATTATCAAATAATTCAACCCTGAAATGACTATTTAAGAAAAATCCCCCTCTGCTTGGAAAGTTTCATCAGGACAAAAACAGTTCAGTTGGTTTGTCTAAAACTATAGAGGATATTGATTACAACCCAGTGTCAATAAAACTGAGGAACAACTTCATAGATAATGTAGAGATCAAATGAAATCTAGTTCACCTTTCTTGGTGAAATCTACTAGGCAGACTCCTTGTCCTGGTTTACAGGTACATAGGTTTGCGTTTTTATTTTTGCTCTTAAAAAGCAACCGGTTATTTTAGACCACTCCAGTACACTATTGACATAAAATAAAGAAACTCTTCTATTTGGAAGACCTGGCTGTATTTCCGACAGGTGAGAAAAGCCCCCGTCTTTTACAGGGGCAGCCTGTGAAATGTGTCACAAGTTTACAGACAAATCTGGATAGGTGTTATCGGAGGAAAGTAGCCACGCAATTGAGGCTGAGCTGCTTGTTACAGCGAGAGGCTCTGGAAAAGTTTTCTTCCAGCCCTGAATTTTAGCTACACCCTGATTGACTTTGCTGACTGGATAAACTTGGGGGGGTCTCCTCCCTCCCCTCCCCACTGAGTTCTGACACCCCGCAGACGGAGGCTATGGGGAAGGGTCTCTGCTGCCCGGAGCGCTGAGAACTAGCAGTTTGCGGGCGCTATTTCTCGGCGCCCCTCCCTTGGGGCTCCTGGCCGGCCAGGTCCCTGGGCGGCTCCAGCCCCCGCAGCCCCGCCACTCACCTGCCCCCCTCCATTGAGCTTGTTGGTGAGTTTGACTTTGCTGAAGGAAACCGGCGCCTTCATCCAGTGCGCTCCGAAGTTGGGCGAGTCCGGGTGGATGTAGACGCAGCTCGGGGCCTGCGGCTCGGGTTTGCCCCCGGGGACCCACTCCCCGTTCACGTACTTCCAGCGGTGATTGTCGGCGGCCACGAAGTCCAGCAGGAAGGAGTACATGGCGTTGGGGTCCAGGCCGGACACGCTCACCTTCAGCACGGGGAACATCCGCCTGGGGGAGAGAGCAGGGCCAGGGAGAGGCGCATTGTCCGGGGGAACTGCTCCCCACTGCCGGGGGAGCCGGGCCAGGGCTCCTGCTCGCCCCACCGCGGGCCTCAGAGCAAGGCCGATCCCTATTTCACAGGACTCCAGGAAGCCGCGTTAGCGCCTCGCCTGCCTCTCCCAGGCCCGGCCCTTGACCTTTCTCTGGGTGTCCCGGTGCAAAGGATCAGCTGGCCCTAAACCACCCCCCAGCGGAGCTTCAGTCCCTTTGTGCGGCTCCGGGCAAAAACTAATCGGACCCCACCTTCGGCTCCCGCTCGTGGCTGCAGCCTCCCCCGCTCCGGTGCCGCGCTGTGCAGAGGGGAGGGGGCTCCCAGCAGCATTGGGGGGACGGCACCCGGCCAACATCAGGGGGCCCCCAGCAGCAGAAGAGGAACTGGGGTCTCAAGCCACATTACGGGGAGATCCTCCCCAGCAGGACTGGATTGGAGGGAAGGAGGGAAATCTACAGTAAAAAGGGGGAGAAATAAATACCACCGGGGGGGGGCAATCTCCCGCAGCATTAGATTAGGGTGTCTCCAGCAGCGTGGGGGCAGCAGACTCGGCCCAACATAATGTTGCAGGGGGGATCCTTTAACTGGGGGGAGAGAACCCCAGCGGGACTAGGGGAGAGGGGGTCTTCAGCCCCAATGGCTGTGCAGTCATTTGGGGCTGCGGCTGTCTCCTGCAGCAGTGGGAGCTGGGCTGGGCTGGGCAGGGCCCCCCCGGGGTTGCCAGCAGCGTCCCCGACCCTACCTGCCGTTCTTGGTCACGATCATCTCGTTGGTGAGCTCCTTGAAGCGCAGCCACAGCTCATTCTCCTCCAGAGTGACTCGTAGCTCCCGCTCCGTGGGGTCTCCCTTCTCGCTGCCAGCCTGCAGCTCGTTTTCCACCGCGCTCAGGAGATGGTCCACCCGGTACTGCAAGCTCTTGCCGGAGCTCTCCGTGCCGGGAGAACTCATCCTCTCTCCTCCCCCTCCCCCAAAACCACTTACTGCCCAGGAGCCACCTCCAGCCTCAGGTCTGGCTCCAACTCCTGGTAGAACTTATCAGAGGCGATTCCACGCCGAACAGCCACGCGGGAGAGGAGGACCCCGAGGCTCCTGGGAGGGGGTCCTGGCTGCTTACAGTGGGAAGGATCCAGGCTGGTTGCAATGTGGTGGCAGAAGGGTTAATCCACTTGACCTCTCTGGTCAGCGCGACTGGAACTGGCCAAGGGGACAGTAATTATACCCCCCCAATAAATATCCCCTGGTGACATCACAATGCCTGTGGGGGGGCTCCCCTGATTGGAGGAGAACCCCTTTGATGTATCCGGCCGACCCAGCTGATTGGCTCCCTGCGGCCATATCAGAACGGTGCCCGGGGAAGCCTGTGATGTTAATTGCGGCCAGTGGGATTAAACACGGCTATTTTATGTAAATCTGCCCCCAAATGTTTGCACCTCTATCAAAGCCGCCGGGGTTGGGGCTTCAGCAGCCTAGGAGGAAATGGCCCATCTCAGCAACAGCCCCATAACCTGTGTGCAGCAGCCTCCTGCCTTCTCAGCAGCAGTCATTATAGGTACATTGACATGCCGCTCGCAACATAGGGCAGCAAACCCTAGAGGTTTTATTTTAGACACCATTCTAGACCAGCCAATCCTAGAAAGTAGACACCGCTAGCGCGAGTTATTATTTAGGCAGTATTAAAAGTCCTCCCCCCGCTGTTGAAGGTACAGTATTTGCAATGTATTTCTATGAGACATTTAAAGTATCACCTCTTAAAACAGAAACCTCACATTCACATTGTCACAGATTGTGGCATTCCTGTCTATGTGACCATTAAAATTAGCATGAGGCCAATTTTAAGTCGACAAGAAATGTTTAAAAAGAATCAAAAAGCAACTGACCAGAAAGCACTTCTCTGAAATAAACCCTCAACCTCAGTTTGATGATCTCATTGAACTATTGCCTTCACACAACCTAAAGAATTTACTGACCACCTCAGATCACCTTTTAGAAGGACTGTAGCTCTGTCTCTTACCACTAATCTCTATAGTACATGTGCATATTAAAACGACTGATGTTTACAACCATCTAAGTACACTAACATTTAAATTGGAAATATTTATAAACATTATATCGATAAATTGACGCTTAACCCCCCCCCTTTATAACAAGGAGAAAATTGTATGTTTGGATTAGGAAAAAAGGGCTTTGTGTGTTTTAAATGAAAAACTTTCCAATCCTTGGAGTTTCAGTCAGTCTCACGGGCCAAGACGTAAATACGGAGTGAGAGAATGAATATTTTGAAACATACTAATGCTTTCGAATGGTTTGAATTCTCAGGAGGTGCTGCGATCTGTGGTGTGAGGGAACAGTTTATTACCTTTCTGTGAGAATCTCTGGATAGAGGGAGAGGGGGAGAGAGGTGACAATGAGCAGGAAATAGTTCAATGGGGTCTCTTTAAACAATAACAATCGCTTTAAACAGGAGCAAAAGAAGAGGAGGGGAGGCAGTGCAATGTAAAAATAAGGATTTAAAAAAAAGAGAAGATATCATGCAAACATAGTTACATTCAAAATACTGGATATTAGTTTTATTTGAACTGATTTAATGAGGTTTTTTTTTTAAGTTTGCTTTTTAAGAAAAGTTTCTCTGTCAATGGCAATCTCTTTGGAAGAGCAACAAGTTGAAACCAAAGTTTAGTATGGAGAGCTATATTCAAAAATTGTTAATCTTGGGGATAGATAGATAGGTTTTATGTACATGCACGCACATTTTATATAAACACACTTTTCACATCTATATACGCATCTTGATTTCAGGAATAAAACTGCTACATTAGTCAAATTTCAAATACATCATACAATCTGCACCCATTTTTTACATCTTAAATTTAGAAATCAAAGTTGTATTTTTAAAAAGCTACATGAGGTGATCAAGTTAATGTTATTTTGCTCGATCGTGTTTCTTTTTAATTTTTTTTTAATAGCGCATGCAAACATTCTCTGTTACTTTACGGAAATAGAGTGAAGACATTTCCCTACTTTGGGTTAGTCTTTGCACATGATTTTTAAAAACCTTTGTAACCGACATGCTTTGCTTACTGAGCGCATCAAGTCCACTTCTGATGGGGAACGATCTTTCTCTACGAGCAGGTTTTCAAAAATCGGGCAAGAAGAGACGCCCAGACAGTCACTGCTCTGAATATTTTCACTAGATCCTTTCCACCAGCCGAACATCACATACTCATTTTACTTACGGTGTTCCATACAAAAAATAATACTTTACTTTTAAAAGGCATGAGCATTCAAGCTCAGAAATTCTATGCGAGGCTGTCAATCTGTGACAATCTGCGTTATTTTTTTAAACGATGAGATTTCTAACATCTTATTATCACACTGCAAAATCCTGCATCTCAAGATACTCTTAAAATTAATCCAAAATGAGGGAGTCTCCTTCACAGCCCGTAATGCTTAGCAGCTCAGTTTAGATCTTTAAAAATACCTCTCTCTGCTTTCGACACATTCTGATTTTTTGAAGTGTTCTGAAGTTATTTTTATTTTAGTGGATCCAGGGTAAGACAAATTTCGTTCTAAATTCTTCGGCAGATCTAATATGCCTACAAAATGCCTACATATGAACCATCTGTAGAGCTGACACACCGTCAAGAGTCTAGCGGAATCGAAGGCGACGCGTCTGTTTTAGTGGATTTAGGTATGAAAGGGAAACGGGATTCGATTTGATTATATATTAAGATGGTTTGAAATTTAATAAAAACATTGTTATTGACGATTCGGAATTAAAATATTTCTAAGCAGGCTAATTCCTTAATTTTAAAGAAGAACAATACATGTAAGGAAAACTCAAATACCACTGGCAACACAAATGCTTTGAACATTATTATTAAACGTTGCATGTAGTATCACCAGATGTTATCATTTTCTCTAATTTACCATTCAAAAGGAAGATGGAGTTTATTTCACTTTGCATATTTCACTTTTATAATATTTGTTTTAGTGACTTCGCCATTTAGCCCCAAATAACTAAGGAATATCCCAAGATTTAGCTGACAGTTTTTGAACAGTCTTCCCGGATTTAAGTTAAAAATGATCAAAAGAATACCTGCAGGGTTTTTTTTAAACAACATAAAAATGAGTGCAAACGGTGGGAGAGCTGTGTATGTTTTGGGAGGGATAGAAAATACTAAGATTTTTCCTGGGCAGCTATTTGTGCCCTCTACTTTATTATTATTTTCCCCCTCTGCCCTGCTTCTCCTTTCTGATCTTAATTGCACTTTGGTTCTCAGGAGAGAAAACTCCCCACTTTCACAGCCTTTTCACCGAGAGCTGCAGTGCATGACAGTTTACAGCCAAAAACTTCCTCCAGCCGAACAGCTATAAAGACTCCCAATTTATAGCAATACTTTCCTTCTTACACTGGGCGAGTACCAGCCTCCAGCTGTTCCCCCTAGGTTCATGGGATCTGTCTGTCTGCATCTGCATTATCATCACCCTAGGTATAAGGTTATGTGAAGAAGACTGCCATGGAAATAATCGCAATCACGATAAACCGAGCATGCCATTATTATCCCCCTTGATAATAACCAATACATACATAATATAGTCCAACTGGAAATGCTAAGAATCAGTGAGTAAATAAATGTCTGGAATATTTGTTTTGCTACTTTTCATCTTGCAATGCAGGATTATGTAGAATGTACACGATCCTTTCCCCCAAATCACTCTTCCTATCTCTAAATAAATAAATAAATAAAAATCCCCCCTGGATCCAGGATTGATTTAATGCAGACTTAAAAACAATCGAAAAGAGCAACAACAAAAACCGGGCTATTAATTAAATCGTCAAATTAAAGTGCAAATTAGAAGTGTCAAGATGTTCTAGACCTTAAAAATAAACGTCCGTTTTCTCCTGACTAGCCTTATACGTTTAAATGTAATTTCAGTTTAAATTTACTGTATACTAGTTGGGTCTCTAGACATGTCCGTTGCCTTCCCTTTGAAACTGAAGGCAAACATTCCGCTGATACCAACCAGTTCAGAATTACTGATGTAGAATATATGTGCTCGATAAATGTGCAAATATCTTTTTAATTAGAAACCACAATTCGTTTATTGTTGTAGTCTTGGTGTGCCTTTTACTGAACATTATCTTCAAACCAATTAACATTTTACTTTAATTTTTAATGTAAATCAAGCAAAATTAATCACATTATTCAGAAATTCCCCAAATTTACTAACATGTGTCCTAAACAAACTCAGGAACATATGTCCTAACTGGGACACATCCCCCTATAAACATATGTTCAAACTGTGAAAATGACAATGTACAAAAACCTCCAATGTTTTGATGTATTTATTTTAGGTTCATAAAGATGAGTAATTATGTTTCATGCTCTTGTTTTTTAATTTTAGAGGCATATGATTGCTGCCCTTTAAACGTTTTTTTTTTTTTTTTTACATTTCAGAAAACAGTTGCATATCAAGTAGCCAAACAGAGTGAAATAAAATGTTTTCTACTTTCTCACTTGGCGTTTTGGATGGTAGGGCATATGTAGGTGCCTGTCCTGCATTTTTGATCAGGGGCAAAACTCTCATTGATTCAACCAGAGCTTTACTTGAGGACTGCAAAGACCTCTACTTGTTTTTTTAAGTCAGTGTAGTTACTTGAGGCCTGATTCTTCTCTCATTGAAGTCAATGACAAAACTTCCACTGACTTCAGGAGGAGCTGGAGTAGGTAACACCAATGGGGAGGGACCTAAAAATATTTTACACTCCCCTACACAAGCTCTAAAGAAAGGGTGACTGAAAGATTAATTAACAGGGCTAGCAAGACAAATATATTTTGTTTTGAAAATCAGTAGCATGATTTCTTTCCTATTTTTTTCAATGCCACAGTAATCTTGCCTAGAACTATACTTCTAGTTAAACGGAGTATCTTTGCATAGGCCAGCTG